GTGATGTATTTTATTTTTGTATGTTTCTCTCTCTTGTTTTTGTATGTTTCTCTCTGTGTATGGGGTGTGTGTGTGATTCAAAGATACTCCAGTGATTGACTACAGAATTGGGAGGGGGTAGGTATTTCACTTAATAAGATATTAAAAAGTTCCCCCTAAGGTTAGCTTCTTAACTCCTTCCTGATATTTTTTTTGTCCTCCAACAAAAGTGTATTTTGATATCTGTCACTCCTCTTAAAGCAACAGGTCACGGAAACTGCTGTGTCTCAGTTGTGCCATGTTCATGTGATTTAGGAAGGACCAGTATGGCATAGTGGTTAAGTGTGGGAACGCTAATCTGGGAGAACCGGGTTTGATTCCCCATTCCTCCACTCGCACCTGGCTGGATGACCTTGAGCAAGCCATAGTTCTGGCACAGCTGTTTTTGAAAAAGAGCAGTTTCTCTCAGAGCTCTCTCAGCCCCGTCCCCACCTATCTCACAAGAGTGTCTGTTGTGGGGAGGGGAAGGGAAAGGAGTTTGTAAGCCACTCTGAGGCTCCTTTGGGTAGTGAAGAGCGGGGTATAAATCCAATCTCTTCTCTTTAATGCTGTTGCCCTTTTATTCATTACAATATTTTGGGATGTGATAATGTAGCTCATTGTTTGTGATAGAACAATTCTGTTCTGTGCTTGACTCCCACTAAAGCTCTGCTGTTTCCAACCATGTGCTGAAGTCCCGCTCTGAGCCAGTCTTCGGGAGAGGAGGCTATACATTAATTAATTAATGGCTAATAATAGTATCAGATGGAGTCCCCAGTCTCTTAATTCCCTGTCCCGGATCTGAGACCAGAATCTAATGCAGTGATAGTGGTTCAGGAGCCACCTGTGGCTCTTCTGAGCACTATCCCCCAAAGCGGCATCTGTCCCATATTTTAGGAAAGTAGGCAGGCCTCTTGCCTGATGGAGGACTGGTTGGCAGTTAGTTCCCACGTTGAAGAAGCTACTGCTGAAGGAATGGAAATGCTACAAGCTGCTGGTGGACCTCCAGAGGGCCCCTGGTATTTTTGGCTGATGTGTGACACAGTGTGTTGATACTGGATGGGCCTGATCCAGTATGGCTTCTCTTATGTTCTTATCTCTGGCGCAGTGATGCTCTGTGTTCTTGGTGCTTGGGGGTGTGGCCTTATAACACACTTCTGGTGATGTCAGGGGGTGTGGCCTTATGACACACTTCTGGTGATGTCAGGGGGTGTGGCCTTGTGACACACTTCCGGTGATGTCAGGGGGTGTGGCTTATGCTAATGAGCTCCGGCAGCTCTTTTTCTACAAAAAGACCCCTGAGTGTTACCTGTCTAGAACGGAAGAGCAGAGAAGTGCAAGGGAGGGGCGCATGGACATGCGACCCACATGAGAAATTTTAATTTGTGAGCTGGGGACAAAAGGGGGCAGGAGGGAGGAATGGAAACTGGCAACATATGGTTGAACTAGCAAAATGCCCATTAGTACTGATTAGTAGTGTGGAGGGGGGAATGTCTGTCTATGTTCCCTCTAAATCCCCCCCCCCCGAGCAGATCAGTTCACATCCTGTGCAGAATAGAGCTGCTGTAATCTTAAGATGGGCAACAAGCTGTGCAAGACCCTGCGCGGCTCCAGACTGCTGCTGAGCAGGGCTTCCTGTGTTAATGAGCGTCCGCTCACTCGTACACCTTAGAGGGAACACTGGTGCCTGTGGATATAAAGGGTGCTTGTATGTTTGGTGGTTAGAATGTAGCTTTTCCTTGCTCCCCCCTTATGGCTGTATCTGGCCGTACTGCTACTGAAGGCCAGGACACCTAGTGTCCTGCAAACTGCGATGTCTTGACCTTACTGCAACACTCAAGAGCAGCAGTTTCCTGTTCTCCACAGGGGTGGATGGGAAGACGTCACATAAGCGTCAGGTGGTAACAGAACTGTCCTTACACCTGCCTGGCACCCTCCCCGCCCCACAACTGAATGCGAGCACTGCCATCTTGTTTTTAAAATGCCTTGAAATGATTAAATGCTCTGAATGTTTAAAATATTGAGGTTTTTATGGTTTTAACTTATTTTACGCTGTACTGAATTAGACTGTTGTGAACCGTCCTGAGCCCCGTGCAAGCAGGGAAGGGCGGTTTAAAAAAAACTAATCAAATCAAATCAAATAAATAAATAAATAATACCCTAACAGGCAATATACTAACCGGCAACAGCTCTTCAGGTTCTCAAGCAGGGAAAGGTGTTTTTCTGTTTTTTAATTGTTTATTTGATTTTAAAACAAGGGATTGTTACAATCAACATCAGCTGGGCATAGAAAAGAACAAATGACCACTTCAATATTACATCTTATTAACAACCTAAATAACACCAAACTGAAATTTATGCTCTCTTCTATAAGATGCCTACCGTGACCTATTACATCAATCTGCATTCGCCCCCAGATAACATATTTATGTTGATTGTTCCATTCGGGTTACAACTTCTTACCACACCAAGTCCGAGTTACCCGTTTGTTCCCCCTTTTGAAGAGCTTTTGTGGTTTTTATGGTTTTATTGAGTTTTTATGGCTTTAACTTATTTTACCCATACTGAATTAAATTGTTGTGAGCTGTCCCTTGTCCCTTGCAAGCAGGGAAGGACGGTCAAAAAAAATTCTAATCTAAGAAGTAAATAAATAATAAATAAATACACTAAGAGGCAACAGCTCTGCAGCCTCTCAAGCAGGGAAAGGTGTTTTTCTGGTTTTTTTAACTGTTTATTTGATTTTAAAACAAGGAACTGTTACAGTCACCCTTTTGAAGAGCTTTTATGGTTTTATTGAGTTTTTATGTAAGCCACACAAGAATATAACAGTCTTTAACCTTGTCCAAAAAACCAAGATCTCCTTAAAAGTGTTTTCTAACATCGGCTACCTAAGATCATTTCAATGGAGAGGCCAAGGAAAGCAGGCGCTCAACCGCTGAGACACAGGGCCCCTCTCTTAACATGTTCATACACGTAAAAGCACAACTGTGACGGGCGATGCAGCTCCCTTGCCCATCCACCCACCCCACACTTCTTCCGTGGGATCACTCCACGCGAAACCTTCTTTCCCCACCCCAAGTGGTGTTTCACTGAGTTCCCTCCCCAAAGCCACCCGGTCCCCCAAGGCAATTCCAGCCCCTGG